AGGGACCTTAAAGACCACCCAGTGCCACCCCCTGCCATGTGCAGGGACACCTTCCACCAGCCCAGGTTGCTCCAAGTTTATCCAACCTGGCCTTGGACACTCCCAGGGATGGGGCAGCCACAGCTTCCCTGGGCACCCTGTGCCAGGGCCTGCCCACCCTCCCAGGGAAGAATTCCTTCCCAATATCCCATCTAAACCTGACCACCACTCTTGAAGCTTACAGTGCTCCCCCCAAAGTTTTCAGTGGAATATTTCCACCAGAAAATGCACAAGAGTGTGGGTAAGTCTTGGGGTAGCTTTGGAAGAAGAATCCCAGCCCCACAGCTGACGGGGCAGTTGTCGATGCTCCTTCCTTTATCCGAAGTTCATTGTGCTGTTTAACGAGGTCCTGCTGGGTCTCAACTGGTGCAGGGAGTTCTTGTTTAAAAAATCCCAAACTAAGGGTTGTGAGGAAGAGCTGGAGTTATCAGCACCTCCAGCCATCTTTGGTAGGACCCTGCAGGGCCCGGGGAGGGCATTATGCTGAGTGTTTATCAGGTGATGGATGATTAATAGGTCTTAGCACACAATGAATGTGTATCTCTCCTTCACATGCTAATCACATGGCATTTATAAATGTCAGCACCTTATCGTGGAGACACACTCAGAATTCTGTGTGGCTTTAAAGGTATTTATTTTTTTTACCATTTTTAATGTATTATTAAGGTTGTGTCATTTGAAGCGTCCCTTGGGCAGCGATTTAGAAACACGGGGAGTTTTTATTTTGATTTCTCAAGCAATTGAATTGTTGCATTTTCAATCTAGTCTAAAAAAACTCACTGCAGATAGTGACGTTTACCTTGTGTTCCTTTAACTACTAAAATGTGGCAGTGGGTGTCACCTTGGAAATTTAATAATGACAAAAAGTAATTTATAATTATTAGACTCAGAAGCTTCAGGGGTTTTGGGTTTTTTTTGGTGGTTTTTTTTTTCTTTTAATGTTAAACTTCCTTGCTTTGCAACCTAAGGCCTTAATTTAGAGTTATAAATTATAGTTTTACCGTTTGAGAATTGCATAATTTTCATTAAAAAAAAAATCATGAATTTCATGAATTGGCCATGAAAATGTGCTTTATTATAAAGGAGAATAGGAAATGTGGGCCTTAAGGAGCTTTTATAAAAGTTTAGGGAGAGTTTGAGTACAGAAAGTCCAATGAAAAACATGGAAACATTCTGGCCTGAGCTGCTACTTAAGCTGAGCTTTTTAACCTGTGAAAGACTTTCCTTCCCAGCTATAATGTTCTTTCCCATGCTCCTTGAGGCAGGCAGAACTGCTGTTGTCTTCCAGAAACTTTATGGACCTGAAGAATTTGGAATTAAACTAAAGAAATTAAGATTCCTTTAGAAATCTGTGCCTTCCAAGCTGTGTTTTATGCCTGGACAGTGAAGCTGTTGAAGCTACACCCGAGGGCTACTTGGTGGCATCAAGTCTGTAGGTTTACATCTTTGGTTCTCAACCATTTGGTCAGTGAGAAACATCCACATTTTCAAAATATTTCATTGAAATTGGCAATAATTGGCGTTTTTGGCCAAAGATTGGATCATTTGGGAGCAAACATGGTCTTAGCATACAGTGAGTGTGTATCCCTGAAAAAAAGCACTGTGTTATGCTGGAAAAACACTGAGGTTTTGCTCCAGTCTCTTCCCTACTCCCAAACAGGACATGAGTCTCCAAGGCCATTTATCCACCACCTTTCCACAGCACTAAAATCACTCCAACCTTGTATAAAAGATTTATTCTCCTACAAATCCCCATGTGTGTTGTCACGTGTCTGTGGGCTCAGGAATATTTACAGATCCCATCGCAGATAATTCTGTTGATCACTCTTTTATCACTGCACCTCCTTAAAAATTACCAATGTCACCCACTGCCCTAAAATGAAGCTCCTGCAATGTGAGGCTGGTGATGGTTAAAAAGGAAGCTTTCTCCAAAATTCCCTGTATAGCTCCCTGTATGACTGAGTTACAACAGCCCTGGACTTACACAACCCCTCAAAGGACTTTACAAATAGCCACCACCATGCAAAGATAGCCTTGGTATTTTAATTAAAGGTCAGACAAACCTACGGGGTAAACCTTGGGGATGGTTTGCAGCAGTCATTTAGAGCAGAGTTGCTTAACGAAGTCTCACTGTCTTAGTAAAACCCTGGCCAAGCCTTTGCTGAGATTTACACAAACTGCAGCCTGAGCACAGGAGCCCCTGCCAAGTTCAGGCTGCGAGTTCAGCACCCACAAATCACAGCCTGTGTGCGCTTCCCACCTGCCTGGGGGAGGCTGCGCCGCTTCACCCTGCTCTGTGCTGGCACACGGGGCACTTGTGGAGTCTCCACGCCCCTCTGCAACCCAGGGCAGCACTCGGTGCCAGTTTTTTACCTCCTGCTTGGCTCTGCATCTCCGCGTGGCAACCTTCGCGGCGACTCGAACCCGTTTGTTTTCACCTAATTAACACCGCGGCGCTGAGGATCGGAGCGATGCTCTGGCAGGGATCTCCCGGCTGTCAATCACGGCCCGGCTGCGCCGCAGCAGCTTCTGAAGGTCGCGCTGTAAGGCTTGATTCAAAGTGTCAGCTTTACTGTTACAACTGAGCTTAAAAACCCGCCAGGCAGTTTTCCTTGCCAGATTTATGAAGTATTTTAGACTATTTGTTCAAAGGAATGTGTCTGAATTTTAAACTGGAGGCTTTGATTGCTGACTCTTCTACCTTTGGCCTTATTTGTGGAAAGGAAAAGAAGAAAAAAAAAAAAGAAAAAAAAGAAAAAAAAGAAAAGCAGGTGACCTGGTTTGCTTGTTCATTCAGGGGTGAGTTATAAGGTGTGCAGGGGAGGTGGCACGACCAAAAGGCTTCTCAACGAAGCCATCTGTCTGCTCACACCGCTGCCCCGGCTTCACCTTTCAGATCTCATTTGCTTTTGGTTGCCACCCAGTCGAGGTGGGGGATGTTTTTATCCTGGATGCTGCATGCTCAGATGGGTTATGACGATGATGTATTCAAGGCATGTTCCCTTTGAAAAATTCGGAAGCACTTCCAGCGTTGATTTCCCTCCAGAGTTATTACACCCCACGCAGATTGGCAGCGCCGTGCCACGGTGCCAGGATTGATGAGGTGACCTTGGGGACACAGGCGCTCCCAAATTGAAAACACTTGGCGCTCAACTTTGTTTTGGATTGCTGAGCAGGCTCCACTCCTGTATAAATCAGGATGAGATTACACAAATAATACCCAACATTTATATAACACTTCATAGCACAAGGGGATTCTTTCGTACATGGCTCGAGTGCAACACTCCTGCCTCCTCCAGACTTTGATTTGCAGCTGGGTCCAACCCTAAACCTTCAGCAGGACTCAGGAAAGGCAGCACTGGCCCCTCCTGCCCTCTCCATGAGCCGTGGACTGTGTTTAGGGCCGCCTTCCATCATGAAGGTTGGGCTTGATGGTCTTGGAGGGCATTCCATGGGATTTTAGGGGATCTGAGCATTTCTGTGGGATTTTAAGAGAGCTGAGCATTCCCAAGGCACCAGGGTAGTGGTACTTAGAGGCTGCTCAGGACTGGGCCAGCTAAAGATGCTCCATTATTCCCAGCCCATGGAGATGCTCCAGTGTGTTTTCACTGCTCCATGTGGTGCTGCCCAAGCCCTTGGACCCACAGAGCTGAGCCCTGCATGGGGCTGAGCTTGGGGTGTCCCTCCTGTGCTGCTCAGGTTGCTTCCCAACCTTTTGGAGTCGTTTGGATCCTCTTGGAGCCTTTTGGATCCTTTTGGAGTGGGGAGCTGCACTAATAAAGAGGCTCTGATAGATGGCAATGAAACATCTGAGTGAAAGAACGTCGAGGTGAACCTGTAAAGCAGCAATAAACACGAATCCAACCTGCACTAACGTTAATTGTCACTCAGTTTATATCGATGTGCAGTTTATTAAACCATAAAGCAAGGCAGCAAGCACAGAGAGCAACTCTAGAGATAATTAAACATAATAAGGGTTTCACTTAATCCCTCAAAACCCAGGGGAGGCACAGTTAAGACTGAATACCCTCTTTGCACTGAAAGGCTTTTTTTTTTTTTTTTGCACAGGCATTTAAGAGCATTTCCCGGGACAAGATTTGGGGACAGGGGCACAGGTAAGTCCCACCCTCACTTCTGAATACGTTTTTGTTTGTTTGTTTGTTTTTTTTTCTTTTTCTTTTCTTTGAGCCTTTACATTGCGCTGCTGATTAAGCCTAAAGTCACGACTCTGAAGGCAGTTAGCGGCTCATCATTTGCATTGTGGTAGCAAGTAAAGACCCTGACGAGGGAGCCTGCGGAAGGTTTAGGAGCATCCCTGGGCTCGGGGTTGCTGAAAGGGCTTTGAAGCGGCAGAGCTGGTACCCAGGTGTGCTCCGCTCTCCTTATCTCCCCGCACGAGACACTCATTTCGTGGACGAGGAGGATCAGGAAGGGGACGAATGCAGAAGGTGGATGCAAAGGGCTGAGCGAGCAGGCGGGTGAGGAGAAGGGATCCTTTGGAAGAGCGAGGCAATTCTGGGATTAAAACCGGAGGGCAGTAATTTGGGACTCCAAGGTGTGCTGTTAGCGGGACCGGGACTGGGCGAGGATGTGGGAAACACGCGGGGAGCGGGACAGGAACAGGCTGGGGGCTGCCGCGGAGGATCCCGCAGGTGCGGGAGGAGCAGCACCTGGGCTGCGGGAGCGCGGAACGGGGCAGGGGAAAGGATGCTGCCCGCGGGGCGGGGACCGCGCCGGTGCCGCGCACACCCGCGGGCGGGCACCGAGCGCTGCCCCGGGGCCCGGCGGGGCTCCGAGGGGGCTCCGGAGGGGCAGCGCAGGTGCAGCGGAGGAGCAGCGAAGGGTTAAGCGCGGCCGCGCCGCCGCCGCCCGCCCCCCGCGCACGGCGGGGCCGGGGGTGGGGTCTGCGCGGAGCCCGCCCGGCTCCCGCCGCTGCCGCTCAATGCTGCGGCCGCGGGGCTGCGGGAGCACCGGGAGCACCGGGAGCGCCGCGGGGCTGCGGGAGCACCGGGAGTGCCGGGAGCGCCGCGGGGCTGCGGGAGCCGCGCACGGCGGGAGCGAGCAGAGCCCGCACCCGCGGAGCCGCGCCGGGCAGGGCATGTCCCCCCCGCCCGCACAGGTAAGCGCGGCTCGGCACCGGCAGGAGGGTCAGGGTTTGGAAAGCGGAAAAAAAAAATAGGAATAAATAAGGAAATGTGGAAAGGCTGCGGTTCGAGGGAAGGAAAGCGCGGTCGCGCTGCGGGGGCCGGCGGGGATGCGGGGCCGGCGGGATGCGGTGCCCGCTGTCTCCGGGGTGCCCGCAGTACCCCCGCGGCTCCCGGCGGGTGCGGGCCGTGCTCCCCGGCCGGGCGGAGCTCTGTGAGGGGTCCTCAGAGTCGGCCCGGGCGGAGGTCGGTGCGTTGCCCCCGGGCACGGGGAGCGGCGGGACCGGGAGCATCCCTCCCTCCCTGCCTCCCTCCCTGCCTCCCTCCCTGCAGGCGCAGGGATGCTCCCGCCAGGCTGGCACAGACGCACGCAGAACTTTTTGCTGGTTCCAGCCGCGTTGCCGGCTGGAGTTGAAGCTCCTTTTGCTTTCCCCAGGGTGATGCTGCTCCCGTGTCGTGAGCAACATACTGCAGCGTGTTGTTTTATTTATCCCAGACAGGAATGACTTGCTCTCTAAACTACAAATTAAAGGATGCTGCTTGCATAACAAGTGGGAATAGTTGGTATCTTACATACTAATTATCCGTCACCTTTTAGGCTCAGCAGAAGAGGGTTTTGGGTTTTGTTCTTTTTTTTTGCAAGGAGGGTTCGATAAAGCCGCCTGATGTCTTGTAGGCACGTATTCATTTCCACTCGCTGGATTAATGTGGGCAAAGGATTACGAGGCAGCATGTTGATGAGGCACCCAGAGGTGCAGGGAAGCAGGGGAACGTTCGACTGAAGTCAGTTTTTGTGTTTGTGCTGGCGCATCCTCCCGTTTCCATGGCTCAGTTCAGGACCTGCATCCCAGCCGATAAATCACTGAGGTGAGAGCAGGGACTGGTGTAAAGCTCCTCTTGTAATGTTCGTGCTGCTCCAAAGGTCCTTCCCGGCACGGTGTCCAGCACGGTGGGCACAGCTGCCCTCCCACCCGCCGTGGGGCTGGGGGTGCTGTGACCCATCCCAGGGGCATGGTGACTGCGGGAGCCCCTTCCCTGGTCCCTCTGGGTCCCTGCAGCAGCTCCAGCCCAGGTGTGCAGGTGATGCTCCAGCCAAACCGTGGCCGGTACCGAACGTGGGCAGCAGGGTGGAGGGGTCTGCAATTGGGGCCAGCCAGGTGGTCCCTCCAGAAGCCTTTTTTACTGCTTTCCTGGCCAGGACACTGATTTTTAGTCTTTTCTGGACCCAAGGAGCTGCATTTTTACCCTGTGTTTGTAAGTGTCTGAAAACTGCTTAAATGGCTCTCGAATAATCCTTCAAAGTCACCTCCCCTCTTTAATCTAATACCAAAAGGACTTACTTTACATGGCTAATCCCTCTTTTACTTGCTGTACAGCCTCATTTAGAGGTGTGCACACTGCTAATTTTCCCAAAGCAGGCTGCTCTAGACAATGGCTTCCACTGGCGTGCAGCAACCTCTCCCTCCTGTGCTGAACTCCGGGCAGAGCTGAATCCCTCTGACAAGGTTTTACTTCATTTCACGAAGGGTCAAGTGAACCAACCCCTCTCAGGAAGCCACACCAAACTCTGTTCAGTGTGCATTTGTAAATGCCACCTCTTGGGAGGCTTCCCCAGGCTCTCCTGCCCCGTGTGCCCATAGCCTGGAGGCAGCGCTTGTGTGGTGAGGGCTGGAGGGAGCCAGGGTGTGCCTGCAGGTAGCTGGAGGTGAGTGAGCCTGGCTAAAGTCTGGTGAGTTGGAAATTCTCCCCTCCATACGTTCTGCAGTGAGTTGAGCTCTCTGTAGCCCATCCGGCGTTCCCAGAATTTTCAGCCCGCGCTGCTCGAGGCGGTGACAGAATGTGTGTTGGGAATGTGAATGGCAGCGGGAGAGCAGCTCACCTTCCTGAGCAGCCTCCTGGCAAACGTGATGGGATGATGCAACCCTTCCAACCCTGACTTTCCATGGGTTAACAGTGGTGCCTGGAGCTCCTCAGCCTCTCACCTGAGCTCACCAGGGGTATCTGAGGAGGGCAAGCGTGTCTTCAGTGTGGTGGGAGTGGTGACGTGTCCTCTTCCCTGAGCCACAGGACACCTTTGGCTGTGGTGTGGCACACGCCCTCTAGGGTGGGTGGTCTCTGAGACCACAGCCCCCTTTCCCTGGGGTGACCTGAGTTGTATTTCCAGTTTATTAATCCCTGCAGTGTTTGATTCCTGAGTGCTGGTTTTTAGCCCTTGGCTGAGGAGCGTTGTTTGAGAGGGAGGAACAGCAGCGCTGGCAGACACCAAACAACTGGGGAGAGAGCCCTCCTTGGTTCCCAAACTCACACCTCCTCATGCAGGAAAGTGTTTCTTGTTGCTATCCAGGTCTTTTTTTTATTTGGATTAACATTCCTTTGATTTCAAATTCACTCCTGTGTTACCCCATCAGGGACATCCAGAAAACAGGGCTGAGCTCACGTAGAGCTTCTACCACAGATGCAAAACTTCAGAATAATTTTGCAGATATTCTGGTGCTATGTGATTTATTTCCCTTGGTTTAAGGAGTTGGCTTTGTCTGACAGTTCTGTGTAGTTAACTGAATTTAAAAAAAATATTTAAAAATCAGAGGTAAAGACAAGGCAGAGTGAAGGAAGGATATTAACCATGAGATAGCTTAATTGCCTTTTTATTTGCTGTCATGGTCTTTCTGAATCATGTTTGGTGGGACATGATGGAGGTGGCTGGTCCCCATCAGGAGCAGGGGGTGTTGTGCAGGCCCTGCCAGGGAAGATGCTACTCCTTAACAATACTCTGCTGGGTTTGAAAGTTCATAAATCATCACAGGTCTATTTTTAGATCTGTTAGATTAGAGCAAGTCTGGGGTTTCTTCCTGCTGTGGCCTGAAATGACCCCATAACATCCCTGTAAAAGCAGTTCACACACTCCCTTTGATACTGCTGCTGACCTGGTGTTCAGCCCTGTGGTTACACAGAGGATGAGCCTCCCTTTGAAGAGGATTTGGTGCAACAGTTGGGAATTTTCCTTCCCGTGCTGCAGCTGGGAGTCTGCAGCTTGGCGTGTGAGTGATGTGCAGCCCCTGACAGGAAGGTAATCACAAACACAGCAAAGTGCCATGAATCACCCCAAACCCACAAATGTCAGCTCCCAGGCTCTCCCAGGCGTGCTGCCAAGATTTAAACTTGCACACCTCTTCACTGTTGTCTGCTGCAGTGGTTACTCAGGTACAGAGAAGAACATCAGGACAGTAGTGATTCATTCTTTTTATTATTAGCAAAGCAAATGTGTAATGATGACACCCGAGTGATTTAGTGTTTCACACCAGTGCACAACTATTCCCTGTCCCCTCCCACCATCCCCCAAAACTGGTGATACTAAAACAAAAGCTCTTGTGTCCAATCTGCTTGTAATCTAAATACAAATGAGGTTCACCTTCATTATGAGCCATGAGAGGAGTACTTTCTACTCTGAACAGGGTTTTCCAGTACTGAATGTGTTGTATTTGGGAAATAACTCCATTCTTTGCCATTCCCTAGATACAATCATTTTATCTTAATCTGCAGGATTAAAAAATCTGCTTCAACATGACACCAAGAAAGAGAGAGATTTGTTGGGGTGTTTTTAATTGCCGGGTTAAATCAATAAAAACCAAGCCCTCAGAACAACAAGGTCAAAGTATTTGAAAAACAATCCAGTGAGGGTCACGTGCAGAATTCAGCTTTAGGAAAGTAGAGCACAAGGAGCAGGTTTTGCCTCCTTTCTGCCAGGAAAATTGGGATTTTTGCTTAGGTACATAATCACAGCATAGATTTACCAGCATGTGGGCACCAGTAAGGTAAGTGGGGCACTCACTGCATTATTCCAATAAAATGTTTTGGGGACTCAAAAAATATAATCTACAACCATTTCATTTTTAAAATTACAGGAATTATTTTTTGAAATGGACTTAAAGAAGTCAAGGTTTCAAAAATGAGGTTCTACCACATTTGTTTCTTCTATTAATTCTTCCCTAAGCCCCCCAGTTGATCAGCAGCTGATACTCCATCACTTGAAAGTTTTGCTGGAGGTGTTTCAGATGTGGCCAAACATCCTTTAATGGATAAAAGTTTTGATATATCCAGTACCACCCACCTTTTCTCCTCTTTGGTTTTCCAGTGGTTTCAGTGAGACTCAGTGGGCACAACTATTATTAACCACTCATGGGCTTTCCCCATCCACGTTAGCAGAGCAAGATGAGGTTGAAAGATCCAACTTTTAGGCTTGTCTTCCTCAAGATTTTCAGGAGACAACTTAGTCCTGAGCTGCTTCTAACTCTAGGCTGATTTACTTGCCTTGAATTCTGTCAGTGTAAGAACTTTCTCAGGCAAAATCTGTGTTTATACTTTATTTATATAAATCTTTAGCCCAGGAAGATCTGTGGTTTTTAAACCCAATCTACATAAGGCTTAGCAGGTCATTTCAGTCAACTGGAAGACTAAGAAAGGGAACAAAGAGCAAAATTTGTGTTTGTATTGGTAAAACCTGTATTATGGATGGTAATTTAATCTGAAAAGTGCTGAGTAGTAATGACACACCTGGGTTTTTTTTAACCCATCTATAAGTGCAGGGTTTATTCAACTCCTTATTTGCTAGCACTGTGGTGGTGTTGATGGTGTGGCCCCTGAGAGGTGTTGTAAAGGCACACTCAGCGTGGAGCAGGAGAGGTTCTTTCACCTCCTGCACAGAGCAGAGCATCTTTCATCCAACAGGATATTTTTTAATCATTACTACCCTGCTCTTATAAAAGAGAGCCAAAACTCTGCCTCTTCTTGTCATGAATGAGTGGGTGAATCTTCTTGGTCTCAGTCTCCCAGTCTTCTGAAAAAAAAATAATTCAAAAATAAATAAAACTGAACAGCACTCAAGTCCCAGCTTTATAAAAAGAGTTACTTAGCATAAGAGCAGAACATTTGCCTAAGAGGGTTTTAGTCCAAGAATGACTTTTCATATTTAATTGAG